AGAGACTATAAACCAAAGCTCCTAGAAGAGAGTGAAGCAGTATTTCCTGTATTTTTGCCCCAAAAGCCTTTGTCCCTCTTGGAGAATCTGCAAGCTACCGAGAGTATCTCGCCTGCACGGCAGAGACTGGCAAGCTACCCGTGGCGTATTTGATATGCCAAAAACAATAACAATAACGGGTCTCATTCCTCTGACCCTGAAAGAGCCCCCAGTGTGCCACTGGGCTATGATAGCATGCGACAGGGATGAATGGAGATGTTATTGGTGCCTGCTCGAGCAAATCGATGAACACCGGGATGAAAAGTGATATTGGAAAATGATTGCTTCACTGCATACATAGTTACATATTTTCTTGTGATAAGTTTAAAGCATTTCACTGTCTTCAGGCCCCACCTTTGCCAAATGCTGGATCTGCTTTCCATTTCTATAAAGAAGTTTGGCTATTAAAATAAAGCTCAGCTAACCTGGGTTTGATCCCCAGCATCCCAGGTCCCCAGAGCCTATAAAGAGTCATCCCTCAGCACAGAGCCAAGTTTAAGCCTTGAATACTGCCACATTATGCCCAATCCCACCTCCCAACACACACAAATCAATATGCAGTGAAGATAGCATTATCTGTTAAGTCAAAAGAGAGATAAACAATTTGATGATGATCTATATAGAGATATTAGCATAAATAAATCTTTAAACTACTTTAAAGGAAGGGAGTGATTAGCCCATAGCCCATAGCCTCTGCCATATAAATGGCCCACCTTCATGACTAATCTCGGAAGAGAAGTCAGGCTGAGAAACTCCCAGGTACATCAATCTTTAGTCTGAAAATTCTGGGGCCCTCTTGGGGGTGGGACAGGCCATGTCTCCACCCCGCTGAAGCCTTAGCAGCAGCACCTGCACCTCAAAAACTCAAGCATATAAATGACCCAGGTCCACAAATAATCTCAAGATATGCCAAGCCAAAGGTTGTACTAGTTCTATAGCTCCTGGAGCATGTGGTCACATATATGGCTGCATAACACCTTGAAATTCCACACTACAGCCCAGTGTGTACTCAATAAACTAGATGGAAAAGTGGCACAGACGCGTACTAAGTTCGATAAACAAAAATAATAGCACAAAAGGCTCAACTAGCAACAGAGCTCAGTAAATCCTCACACAATGACTTTAATAACACCTTGTGGGATCTCACAATTTTCACAAATTTCCTCAACAATTTTTTTGATGATGCTATTTACCATTCTGTCTAACAAGTAATATAAAATAAATTATTTTGTGCCTGGTAAGGGGGCAGACTTGATGAGTGAGTGGGAAACTGGGGATAATGGTGGAGGTAAGGTCACACTGGTGGTGAGAGAGATTGGTTGGTGCTGGTACACTGAATGCTAAAAATAACTATTATGAACAGCTCTGCAAACCATGGTGTTTAAACCTACAAAAAAACTTTTTTAAAGAAATGATTGTATGGAAACTAGGAAAAAACATGGAGTTCAGAGAAGAAAATCTGCTCAGTGTGTTTACAATAGAGTCTTAGAAAGGAAACCCTTTTCTAAGAAAGCCAGTCCCTTCACCAGAGTATAGGGGTTCATGAAGAATGTGCAAGACCAGACATCTGTGGTTCAAACTCAACTCCATTACTCTTGACCTTGAGCAAATTATTATGCTAACTCTTGACTGTAAGCAAATATCTCACTTCATTTACAAAATAGGGGTATTAGTGAGTTTTACCTCTCTAGAATGAATGAAAAACTGCAGTGAGTGATTAGAAGAACATAGGCAGTGCCCTCTGGCCCAAAGAAAGTGTTTGAGAACTTGTAACTAGTATTTTTCTATTCTCAGCATCATAACTGCTCCTCTAATTCTCATTACCAGCACATTCCATACACAAGCCCACTCAACTTTGGCATTCTTTACCTTAACTTTACAACTGAAGCAGATTCTGGCAAGTGATATTAGGTCATATTGCCCTGCTGCATCTCCTGAGTGAACAATTTGAGTGTGATCAGAGAGTTTTTGAGATTTGTGTATGTTGTGAAACATTGAAGAGCCTTTAAGCGGGTGCAGAATCCTGTGCTCAGAATGTCTGGAGAGGTCCCACTGGTGATTCTTGCCAACCGGACATTAGCTCTGTGCGAGGGCTTGAGGATGCAGTGCTCCTTTGGCCCTGCAGTGTCAGGGATACACTGGCCACAGGACCATGTTGGGAGCCTCCAGGATCAAAAGCAGTGGTGCTCAAGGGCTATACCTGGTGATGCTCAGAACCATGTGGAATCAGAAATCCAACCCTGGTTCCGCTGTACTATCTCCCACCCCCATAGCCTCTGTTTTAAAGAGTGGGAAGCTTTTGAGATGACCTTGAACTCTGCCACTTGCAGTTGGATTCAGGAACATAGATGCAAGATGAGGGGCTACAGGGAGACTGCAGGGAGACTCTGAGGGAATCTCACCATCAGAGGTCTGCCAGGTGGACACATGCAGGGCAGAATGACTGGCTATTGAGGGCCATTCAATCAGTTAAAGAATGACTGGCCTTCTGCAACTGAAAGGAATCTACCAGCAGACAACCTTCAGACTTGAGTTCAATATGGTGTCTTTCCTAGATATCAGAGCAGAGTCTCCTGCCCCTGCGCCTGGCTGTCCTCACTGGGGCCCCTTGGAGGGGAGCGGGTTGAGTTTCCCTCCCAGCCCCTACCAGGGCTCCAGCAGCCGAAGACCTCCAGAACCAGCCACCACCATGCTGAGACCACTCTCCACACGCATGAAGGTACCAGCAGAAGAACAAAGGCATGCAGGTCCCGGGGCTGAGATCTCCAAGCCTGCTTGGATCGGGGCTGAGCATCCTCCAAATTCCAGTAGGCAGGGGTCACACCCACCAACTGACCCCCTGGCGCCATGTAATCCCATCAGCGGCCAAGACTCAGAGACTATAAAACCCAGCCCCTGGAAGCGCGTGGCCACATTTGCTGCTGCCGCGTGACATCTTATTATCTCATTCCTACTTTGGACAAACTGGCAGGCTACCGAATGTAACCTGCCCACATGGCAGTCTGGCAAACTCCCTGTGGCGTACCCAATATGCTAAATACCAGTAACAATGATGGGTCTCATTCTCCTAACTCTGAAAGTGCCTTGAATATGGCACTTTTTAAAAAATCTCAGGGCTAGGACGAAGGAGACGTTACTGGGGCCTGCTTGAGGCAATCGACAAACAACAGGATGATTGTGATTGTGATCGTGATCCTAGATCTCCAGCTCCGAGGTTTTCCTTACAGTCAGTATGTTTGCAAATAATTGTGGTCTTCATATTGGTGCTAATTAATCTTTTAAAATCTCTCAATCTATTTTAAGAAAAGGGAGGAAATTACAGAAATATTTTTTTTGGTGGCAAAGACTTCTCTTTATGAAACTTAGAAATAACCTTAAATCATGATGGGTTAGTTTCCTTCTCAGAAGGTGTTAACTTCTAATCATTACTTCATTATCACTTCAAAAAGATTTTTTTTTTTTTGGTTAACTATGGTTTTAAATGTGTGTGCTGTGTCAGCAGTGAAGAGTTGCTAGGAAGTTTGTTCAGCTCTGTGGTTTTTAACTAGAATACTCACCGTAGACATTGCTTTCCTTGAAATTTGTCAACAGACTCCTCTACTTAAGTTGATTTTGAAATAGAAACTGTGCACACATTATTTATTTATTTTTTTAGTGACAATGATTAAAAATTCAGTAAGCTTCTTCAGGTTTGGGGTGTGGGAAATGAGAAAGAATTAAGCAACTAGAAATGTTTAATGAGCCAAAATTTGGAAGGTATCATGTTGAGTATCATGTAAGCCAGAGAGAGAAGGACAAATACCGGATATTCTCACTTACCTGTGGTATACAGAGGAGCAGCAAGGCAAGAGAATGAAAGGCATGAAAAGATGGCTAAGCTGTGACCCTGCATCTCAGTCCTGAGAATGGCTCATAACGGAGGAGGAGGAGTAGGCAAATGGAGGTGACATGATGATTTTGGTCACAGGGTCTCAGACACTGAGAGACCTTAGAGCTGAGGTAATGTGCATACATCAAAAACCAGTAGTGTTTAGAGTCACTGGATGAGGAAATGCAATTGCTTAAAAGGTGGATGCCTAGACCACTCTTGGCCCCAGACTTTAGGGAGATGGAAAGAAAGTGTGAAGGGGAGAGAGGAGGTAGATGAGAATGGGGGCAGGGGTCAAGGGAATTCAAGTACACCAGTGGTGTTACGGAATGACAGAACTAAATAGGCAAATCTATCCCAGAGTCCCAAGCCCTTGAGGAATGAGTCCTGAGCATATATCCAGGAAAAAACCCTGAGGGCACAGGTGTGGACCCAAACCAAACAAGAATAAAGACACTATTGCCAGGACGAGTGAGTATATCAGACTGACTACACCCTTAGCAGTATGTTTTTTCACTACTAAAAAATATTTTTTAATTTGCACTTTTGAGGTGGGATTACCTTCTGAGTTGTACTTAATAAAGCTTTTTGGTCCATTAATTCAAATCTTAAAACTTTTCTCCTTTTAGCAAGTCCTAAGAACTCCTAGTATAGTAGAGATATTAATCCTGGGCTTCTCAGTGGGGATTCTCTATTCACAATGGATGATGCTCTGGTCTTCCACATCTACTCCAGCGGCTTCCATCATTGTCTCTCTACACCAGGATCCTCAATCCATATGCTGTTCTATTATGTCTGTTATATTTTGCTGGAGATCAAACCTAGGGCCTCACATACGTAAGAAATGTGTTCAACTGATACACTATATCCCCGGCAAGAAATCTGCTTCTTATTCCCAAATACCATCGAAATATTAGTATACTTTACACAGGATGCTAAATATTGACAAAGACACACAAAAGGACCATTTTAAAAGACTAGACTAGGTTTTAGAATGTTTTAAAGATTAGATATGAAGAATTGTAAAGTCTATAGCTTAAAAACATGGAAACGAATATGGATAAAGCTTTTTTTAGCAAATGAGGTACTTGAATACTAATAAATCAAAAAGACTTTATTTAAAAAGAGTATAATATTTTGTACAATATATACAGATGATTCTATTTACCTATCATAACTCATCCTGGTTTAGATATTAAATGCTACTTTAAAAAATTCTCCAAATTTCTTCTGAAAGCAGTATTAACACTTAAAATTTCTGGAAACAAATACATGGAAACACAGAAAATAATCCATTGTTCCTCATGTGACAGTTAGAAAGGACGCCAGGATGTAAACCACATTCAGAAGAACCATGCTAACTGGACAGTGCTACCGCTAATCAGATGGATGGGTGAGACCAGGCTAACAGACCGTCCATTTGGTCCAATTTCTGAAGAAATAATCTTTTCCTGAAGTCTTTTCATGACAATGAACTCTTCAGGAAAAGCGGAAGCTTCACCATTGGAACAGTTTGGCTGACACTATGAAAACTCTTTGGATTCTGTTGTGAACTCTTCAGGAAAAGCGGAAGCCTCACCATTGGAACAGTTTGGCTGACACTATGAAAACTCTTTGGATTCTGCTGTGAGTCTATAACCAATCAGGGACTCTTTACCACCTTCATCCACAAGTAAATCCACTAACACGTGTGGTTTGTCATAACCAAAGGATGTGGTATTTTTTCCCTCTTGTATTTCTGTCTTCCCTTTAGTCTTACTGTCTGAAGAAAATTCTGAGTCTGATACAAAGCTTCCTGATTCCACCAGGCCACTATCAGAACCATTTCTGGAGTGATAGGAGTTCAACGCAAAGCTGCAGGGGTCGGACTGGTTACTACTTGAAAGCCGAGAATTCAGGTTCAGAGAATTTTCCGGAGTCACTTCAGAAATATCTGTGTCAGTGGTCACTACTTCGGATTCACTGCAAAGCTCTCTGCATTCTGCTTTCTCAGGATTGTCTTCGGGATGCATAGGTAAAACCGTTGCTGGAGGCAACAGCTCCTCAGAGGGCACCTTCTCAGGTCCTGGGATGATAGCCTGGTAGGTGACAGGAGATACGTATTTTGATTCAGGCCTTACCTCTGCTGTGGCATTTTTTACCACAGACACCTAAGGAAATAAGAGAAATCAACGAATCAATGATTAAAGATAACAAATTATTAAAATTAAGTGCCCATTAGATAGAAAAAAGGTCTAAGCATGATAAGCATGCTTATCATGATGCCCTGGTCATCACAGTACTGGTTTAGGCAAAATGGCACACTTAAACTAACAGTATACCAAAGAATCTGTTAAAAAATGAAAATATATTAAGATTAAAAATATGCTATTAGTTTTTTTAGGCCACTGACCATTTAATGAGCATGTGATTTTTTCTAATGCACTACCTTTGACATGAATGCAAAATACGCTTATAATGAGAATAAACAATTTTATGTAATGTTTTCACCATTTGCCTTTATTCTCTTCCTTGACTCTAATATCTTTATAATGAGATTAAATAATTTATCTAATTATTTGGACTGGAGCGATAGCACAGTGGTAGGGAATTTGCCTTGCAAGCCGCCGGCTCTGTCGAGCCGGGTTTGATTCCCCACCTCTCTCGAAGAGCCCGGCAAGCCACCAAGAGTATTTATTTTGCCTGCATGGCAGAGCTGGCAAGCTACCTGTGACGTATTCGGTATGCCAAACACAGTAATAACAAGTCTCACAATGGAGACGTTACTGGGCCCGCTCAAGCAAATCGATGAACAACAGGAGGACAGTGCTACATACAGTGCAGTGCTATCTAATTATTTAGAGAAATATTTATATTACTCAAAGGCCTTTAAGTGTCATATACTGAAATGTCAATCTCCTAGGCCAATCTCCCTTTGGGTCATCCATCCCTCTACACTGCAGCCATAATCAAGCATAGCTCTACTTAGAGATCTTCAAAGTTTCAAGCTTTCTTGACACAGGGCCTCAGCACATACTATCTGAGAAACTTTACGTACACCTGCCTGCCCCTCCAGACTGCTTAAGCATCACTGGTTTTGGAAAAGTCACAATTAAACCTACGTCTCCCAAAAATGGGACAAAATTCTCACTAGCCCATGTAGAAATCTTTATCTCTGAAGGATTGCAGTATACTCCACTGAACAATTTTTCTCTCACTAGACATAAAGTCCCTTTCCAGAGTTCCTGTCTGTCTTTGTCCCATGCATCAGAGTATCTGGCATGTAGTAAAGATTTGGACTCAGAATGTCAGGCAGATTTCTAATACGAGACACATTGCTCAATGAACATCATCCTACTCCAAAAGAAAAATTCAGAAAATGCCAAAAAGGCTTGAATTAATATTTAGTGTACACAATTAAATAATATTAAAATACAGTACCAAGGACTTGGGTAACGTGATGCTTTTTCTCTTGAATGGATTAATCTCCTTCATGCGACAGTATGCAAATATCACAATGAATACCAGGAAGACTATGAAAGCAACAATGGTTGGAATCAAAAAACCTACAATGAAAATAATCACAAATTATTCTGCTATACTCATCAAACAGTTCTAACATCTCAGGACTATACTCTGATTTATACATCTTGTAATTAACACTGTCAGTTGAAAAGAACACTGACATAGAAGTCCAGCCAAATAGGTAAAAATCTAAATACCTGCCCTAGGACATCAGTGTGACTGTCCTCAGTTTGAAATTCTGCACTTTCTGTAGTTAAACTGCTATGATGCAATGTGGTTAAAATAGCTTTATCAGAGTAATTGCCCTTTAGAGCCCATTCCAGAGTTGTATTTTTCTCTCCTTTTAAAAAAATAATAGTAGGTACTGAAGATATATTAAAGCAGATTAGGCACACAATGATCCAATTTCGATCCCAGCAGCATCCCCAAGCCCATCAGGAGTGATCCCTGAGCACAGAGCCAGGAGTAAGCCCTGAGCATCATCATGTGTGGCTCCAAATAAATAAAAAACACACAATGTTTTCTTTAATGCTATTTTTATAAAACAAACAACAACAAAAAAAAATACCAGCACAATGCTGAGTTACTATTTTTCCGTTCTCCTCTCCCCAAAAGGTAATACTCTACATATTGTGGTGCTGTACTGGCCCTCCCAGGGTATTTTATTGCCTGTATTTTCAACAACAGATACTTCTTTGAAAAAACAGTTTTGTAAGTCACTGCTAAACTAATACTGATATGACACCTGTTATAGGAAGTTGAAAAAATTATCACAGTAGAAGATAAAAGAACTATGTAGCACTGAAATTGCATTTTGAAGCACCGAGGCAAGAAATGCTGCTGAAGCACTACACTGTGCCACTATGTGGCCACAATATCAGCTCAGTTTCATCCAGATTTTTTTAAAAAAGAAATCTGGGCACCTGCATTATTTCTTTTACATAATCTTGTAATACTATATGGGATTTGATGTTTTAATACAGATTACTGCATATGGGCATAAAATTCAATTCACACTATTTGGGGGGGGGGTGGAGTTCCTAAACAAGAAGGTCCAGAGTCCACTCCCATTGATTCTTGGCCAAATGGCTCGATTCTAGGGCCCAAAGATGTGTTATTACTCAATCTGTGTGCTGAGATATCCCAGGATTGTAAAAACGACCCACAGTTCCTAACCTAAATGAACAAAAATCTATTTTTGCATAATGATTTTAAGTAATTATCTAGCTCGGTTTTTTTGTTTGTTTGTGGGGGCACACCTGGTGGTGCTCGGGGACTACTCCTGATGGTGCCAAGGCACCATGTATGTTGCCAGGGATTAAACAGGAATTAACTGCAGAGAAAGACAAGTGCCTTAACTCCTTTACTATCTCTCAGGTCCTAAGTATACAGTTTTGATCACTAAGCATTCCTGCCAACCATTTTTAAACCTGTAAGCTCATAACTGTTATATAATGTAAGGTACGTAAAGTATTATATTAATGCTAACATAGTATCTTGATGAATTGAAGTAATGAATAGTGACGCAATTAAACTGACCTATTATTTTACAAAGTCAAAGCTTGGCAAGCTACTCATGATGTATTCAATATGCCAAACACACTAACAACAAGTCTCACACTGGAGACGTTACTGGGCCTGCTCAGGCAAACTGATGAACAACGGGAGGATAGTGACAGTGACAGTTTCTGTTATTTTTCCTTTCCTCCATTAACTGACACCATGAAACTTTTCAAATCGGCTGTATAGTTTTAAAAATGGATATTTTAGTGTTGAGGAATACAACTATTAAATATTACTCGGAGTAGAAATTTACTAAAGTCATACACCGTCTCTTATGTTTTTACCCTACTTTAGTTAATACTCTCTGTAATGTGGAGAAAAATGGCAAAAACTTACTGTTTAACCAATTATGGGTATCTTTGGAAATGGTAATACAAAGATCTTGGGACATTTCAGTTTTAACGCCCCAATCAACTGAGACTCCTTGGGCTGACACACAGTAGTTAGATTTCTGTATCCCCAATGGAATGCTGGAGCGGCACACAGTCTCGTAATCTTCCTCAAATGGATCACATGTAATATTAATGGTCTGTATGGAAAAGAAAAGGAAAACACAAGGGTTTTTTTTTTAATCTGGAAAAATCATATTTATCTCATGTATCTATGAAAATATGAATGTGATATATCTGAACATGTCTGAAAAGTGTTGTTTTTAATAAGTCAATTTATTACTTCAACACAGCATGCAGCTACATACCCATTGAAATGTTCTTTAAAATTTAATGCTCCTTAACATGATAAATTATAGAACTCAAAGAGCATGCTATTTATTCAAAGTTGTTAAACCAACAAATGTGGGCAGTGTATGGGACTCTGTGCGAAACCTGGACAGAACCCAGGTCAGCCACATGTAAGGCAAGAACTGTACCCACTGTATTATTACCCCAGCCCACGATTTCATCTTTCTTTCAACTGTGTAATATTTCAGAAAAGAAGAGGAGGAAGGACAAGAAAGGAGGAAAAGGAGGAGGAGGGGGAGGAGGAAGAAGAGATGGAAGAGGAGGAAGAGGAAGAAGAAATGAAAGATGAAGTAATGAAGTTTGCTGAAACTTGAATGAAACCAGAGGGGATCATGTTAAGTGAATGAAATGTCAGAGGATAAAGAACAAACACTGCCACTGCATGATCTCACTTCTCTGTGGCATACAGAGAAAGGAAGCAAGATACACACACACACACACACACACACACACACACACACACACACACAATATTAAATGGTGACAAACCCTAAGTCTTTGTGGGCAAAACTGAGATTACTAAACTGTTGGGGAAGAACGAAGGAGGAAGACAAGGACCACAGGTGACATGTGGAAAGAGGTGGGAGAATTTGGTATACTTTGATTTGATGGGGGAAGCTTTGTTCATCAAAACCATGAAAGTCAACACTATTCCAATCATGTTATCCGAACTACCAAAAAAAATAAATAAAAAGGAGAGAGAAATTAAAAATAAATAAAATATATATTTATCTTAAAAAAATAATTCTCATTCTACCAGTGGAGAAAGACATGCAGGTTCCCTTGCCATCCAAGGGTAGAACATGAGCAATAATTTGGTAGGTTATTTTTGGCATCTGGGATTGCTCAAACATTTTTGATTTCCACCAACATAGCCTATAAATCATAACCAAAAAAATTCTATCTTCTGATAGAAGGAGAAACCTATAATAGATTAAATTCCTAACAGTGCCATTCTGCCTTAGAAGGCAAGAAAAACAACTTAAATGTGTTCACCTATTCAAGTGTACTCAAAAATACCAATTTCTTTCAAAAACATTCTTGTATTTCCATTTTCTTATCAAAACATAACATCATGCATTTTAACCAAATATTCATAAGCTTTCATATGATCTACATAAACAACTGCTGGCAACAGAAAAATTTAATTTGGAAAAACATAAAATGAGACCAACCTTATTTTCATCTATTCTTATATAAATATGATATGAAAACATATGACAAGTGTCATCATCATACATTTGTTCCAACTCTTCTCCAGTGACAACTGTTAATGGGTGATAAGTATCAATAATTAATCGGTCTTTTTTCTTTCCAATACTCAGTGTAGGTGGTGCATATTTTCCTAAGGGAGACAAAAGAGTATTACTACTGGTCCTGGAATTTTATGGTACAACACATAAAATTACCAAAATTAGCAAACAAGCCTATTGCAATAAACCTACTGTTAAAGCAAATAAGTAGTCTACTGCAATAATCCTATTACAATAAAATTATTGTTAAATGAGTCTAAGTTCATTTCTAGTTCTAAAAAAACCCTGACATACTAGAAGCTCTTGTTTTTTCCCCTTATCTTTGATTATTCAGATTAAAAGACTTGGCTACTAGGAACTATTTCAGAGCAAGCACTTAAATTACCTTTTAGCTTTGACTCCTCACCAAAGCTTTGTTTTTCTAACAACTATGGGTAGCTAACATGAGAGCTATATAAAATTTTGTTAAGAATGTTCATATTTTATGGTTATACACAGAACTAATCAACCATTCAACAACTATTTCTGATGTTTGATATCTGAGGCTCTGTTGCTGAACTGTGTATCCATACATCCTCTACTTTACTACATCCCTACTGTTCAGATAGGTCTGTTTTCCTCACCTGTGTCCTAAGAGCCTACCATCCTTTTGGGAACAAAGTTACCCGATGCCTTAGGTGTGACCCCCTGGAGAGGAAGGGCTGAGCAATAGTACAGTGGGAAAAAGGTATTTGCAGTGGTCAAGCTGGGTTTGATCCCCAGCATTCCATATGGTTCCCTCAACACTGCCAGGAGTAATTCCTAATTGAGCTAGGAGTAACCAATGACAATCGTTGGATGTGGACCAAAATACAAAACAAAAAACTTTAAAAAATTAAAAATGAATAAAAGGATGTGACCCTGTGGGAATAAAACTACTTTGAGGGGCAGGGAGCAATAGGGCTGTGGAAGGGACCAAGCAGGCATAATCTGAAAGCAGAAGCAGAATCAAGACAGTGGTTGAAGGGCGGGGAAAAGCTCAACAAGTAAGAAAGCGAAGGTAGAAGACAAGGCACAGAAGGACCAGCCCACAAGAGATGAGTCAAGTGATTCAGGGCTTCTCTTTTCCAGGAGTGAAGGTATGAGAGAGACAAAGCTAGACAGGATAGAAGACAGGAAAGAGGAAATGGCACTATAGATTCTGCAGTATGGATCAGCTAGACTGTGAGAAGGACAGGCTGAAGAGTGGTGCTGAAAACCGTGGAGGCTGAAGAGATTATAGAGCTCTAAAAGTTTTGAACGTACTGAAATTCTTAAAAACTCAAGGACTTAACATGTTGATGCTGGCATATACTACCAGTGGTTCAAACATGAATATGGATTAATGGACATAAATTGCAGTGCTAGCATCAGTATGTTAAAGTAAAACTGATGAATGAGAAGTGGTGAAAGTTCCTAGTGAATAGAACTTAGAAAGGTGAAACAGGGCTGGAGAGAGAGCTCATAGGAATGAAAGCCTGCCCTACATGCCTCAGGAGCCTCACATGATTTCAGAGCACTGATGGGGGGGGGGGGGGTCGGCGCATATGAAAGAGAATATTATAAAGATATAGAGGGGAGGGAGAGGAGGTCAACCACAATTTGACTTTGTTTAAGGTGGATTAAATGGGATACTTTGATGGAGCAAAGTTACATATGGCTCTTCGCCTGACCCGGGAGGCTTGGAAAAGGAGGAAAACAGACTCTCTAAATTCCCCCAAATGTTTCCTGAGTTTTATGATTATTTTAACAACTGTTTATAAAATCAAATAACGTGTAAATTTTAAATTTAAAATTCTGATGCACAAATATTCTACTCACCGTGTCGACACAAAATAAATTCTTTTGATTCTGCATAGGTAGATTCTTTTTGTCCAAGATAAGCTTTAACTCTGGCCCAGAGAGAAACTGAAGGATCTTCAATTTGGGAGGAAATGTCGCAGTAATGATGGGAAGTATTGCAGGCATTAATCCATTTTCCATGTCTAAAATGAAGAGCAATAAAGAACCCCAAATGTAACTTTCACTGTTGACATATAAACCTGAACCACCTCCATCTGTGCTTTGCTCATCATTCACAACACAGAGCTGGTAGAAAGAGCTGAACAAGTATACAACAGAAAGGCTAATTTTGCATGCAAATGACCCTGGTATGACCTCTCATACTGCATAAAGTTTCCTGAACTTGCCAAGGTCACTCCTGATCATAGAGCAAAGAATAGCTAACCCAGGTTTGAGCCCTGGTACCACATAGGGTCCTCTGAAAATCACTCAAGGTCACCCTTGAGCTCAGGAACAACCTAAACAACTAAAAGTGTGACCCAGATACTACCCCCAACTCCCACTCCTGCCCAGAGAAGGGCAAAAATAACATATTGTGTAGTCTTCAGTAAGGATTAATACAAATTCCTTTAAAACTCAATTCAAAATATAATTCCTGGGATCAAATAGCTAGTACAAGAGGTAAGGTACTTGCATATAGCCAACCCCAGTTTGAATTCTCAGCATTACATACGTGAGCATCACCAGGATTGATCCCTGAGAACAGTGAGGAAAAAGCCCTGATACTACCATGCGTGGCCCCAAAGTCAAACAGCAAACAAAAAACAAAACTTCAAAATGTAAGACCTGGGGCTGGAGTGATAGCTCAGCGGGTAGGTCGTTTGCCTTGCACATGGTTGACCCGGGTTCGATTCCCAGCACCCCATATGGTCCCCTGAGCACCACCAGGAGTAATTCCTGAGTACAAAGCCAGGAGTAACCCCTGAGCATCGCAGGGTGTGACCCAAAAAGCAAAAAAAAAAAAAAAAAAAAAAAAAAAAAAAGAAAGAAAAATAAGACCTGTACACATCATGTTTCATGTATAATTTGAAGATTTGCTCTTTAACTTTAGATCCTAATAACCAGGTAATCACTACTTAATCACTCCAGATTCCATTAACTCATTATTACTTAATCACAGAATTCAACATATCAAGAACCCAATATTTGCCAAAAATGTTTCCAATATTTTTATCTTTCAGCAACATAAATACCACAGGAAATAAGAGAAAAGCATTACTCTAAAGACAGAACCACAAGCTTTGTTTTTCACATCTTAAAACACCACAAGTTTAGTGAAACTTCTCCACCTGCATATTGACAGGAGGAGCTACCAACAGGACAAGAAGTTTTTTCCCAAAAAGAAACACAAAAATACCTAGATGAAAAGGAACTTAAATAATATGAGTAACACTTACGTATAGGTTTTTACCATTACATTGAAAACAGGGGTCTCTCGCGTTCTTGGGTAATCCCAATGTAGCAGAGTATTCAAATTATAGGCCTCAAAGGTGAGATTGGTTGGTACTGGTATTGTAAGAGATCCTAAAAGTAAAAGGGACAACAGTCAAAAACTTTCATCAACCTTAGGAAGTCTTATCCTAAGAAGCCAAGTTAGCCAAATACATACTTTGAAGAAAGACAGAACTCACTAAAACCAAAAAAATTACTCAAAGTAGAGACTTATAAATTTTGTGATTTTCCACAGACCAATGGAACAGGGTGGAAAATCCGTACATACAACCCCAAATGTATGAACATCTAATCTTTAATAAGGGAGCAAGAAATGTGAAGTGGAACAAGGAAAGCCTCTTCAATAAATGGTGCTGGCATTACTGGACAACCACATGCAAAAAAATGGGCTTAGACCTCGACCTAACACCATGCACAAAAGTCAGATCAAAATGGATTAAAGATCTCAACATCAGGCCAAAATCCATAAGATACCTTGAAGACAAGGTCGGTAAAACCCTCCAGGATATTGAGGCTAGCGGTATCTTCAAAGACAACACTCCATTGACCAACCAAGTGGAAACAGAGATAAACAAATGGGACTATCTTAAATTAAGAAGCTTCTGTACCTCAAAAGATACCATAACCAGAATACAAAGACAATCTACAGAATGGGAAAGGATATTTACCCAATACTCATCTGATAAAGGGTTGATAGCAAGGATATACAAAGCACTGGTTGAACTTTACAAGAAGAAAACATCTAAGCATATCAAAAATGGGGTGATGAAATAAACAGAAACTTTGCCAAAGAAGAAATCCGAATGGCTAAAAGGCACATGAGGAAATGCTCTACATCACTAATCATCAGGGAGATGCAGATCAAAACAACAATGAGATATCATCTCACACCACAGAGACTGGCCCACTTCCAAAAAAACAAAAGCAACCTGTGTTGGCGTGGATGTGGTGAGAAAGGGACTCTCCTTCACTGCTGGTGGGAATGCTGACTGGTTCAGCCCTTTTGGAAAACATTTTGGACGATTCTCAAAAAATTAGAATTTGATCTCCCATTTGACCCAGCAATACCACTCCTGGGAATATATCCTGGAGAGGCAAAAAAGTACAGTCAAAATAACATCTGCACTTCTATGTTCATTGCTACACTATTCACAATAGCCAAAATCTGGAAAAAACCCGAGTGCCCAAGAACAGATGACTGGTTAAAGAAACTTTGGTACATCTACACAATGGAGTACTATGCAGCTGTTAGAAAAGATGAAGTCATGAAATTTACATACAAGTGGTACTACAAGGAAAGTATCATGCTAAGTGAAATGAGTCAGAAAGAGAGGGACAGACATAGAAAGATTGCATTCATCTGGGGAATATAAAGTAACAAACTGGGAGACTAACACCCAAGAATAGCCGAGATAAGTACCAGGAGGTTCACTCCATAGTTTGGAGGTCAGCCGCACATGCCAGGGGAGAAGGCAGCACAGATAGAGAGGGAAGCACCAAGTAAAGGGTGTTAGGCGGACCCTCCCAGGATGAGAGATGCATGCTGAAAACAGACTACAGACCAAATATGATTGCCACTCAATGTCTCTTTTGCAAACCACAGCACCCAAAAGGAGAAAGACAACCAAAAGGAATGCCCTGCCACAGGGGTGGGGTGGGGTGGGACGAGAGGGTGGGAGGGTGGGAGGGATGCAGGGAACATTGGAGGTGGGGAATGGGCACTGGTGGAGAGATGGGTACTCAATCATCATATAACTGAAACCCAAGCACAAAAATTTGTAAGTCTACAACTGTACCTCATGGTGTTTCACTAATTAAAAAAAAAAAGAAAAAGAAAAAAAATTGTGTTTTCTTTTTTCTTTTCTTTTTTCTTTCTTTTTTTTCTTTTTCTTTTCTTTTTTCTTTTTTTTGTGCTATACCTGGCAATGTTCAGAGCTTACTCCTGGCTCTGCCCGAAAGTATTATTCCTGACAGTCTCTGGGGGACCATATGGGATGCCGAGAATCAAACCTGGGTTAGCTGTGTGTAAGGCAAATACCCTACCTATTATACTATCTCTCTGCCTCCTAAAATGCATTGCCTATAATAATAATCCTCAATTCATCTAATCATGTATGTTCTACTGTTGATACCCCAGACTACATTCAATGACCAGACAAGTGGCATTCCCAGGTAGGATAAGGCTCACTCTCACAACCAGGCTCTCGACCCTACACCGAATATTGCTGCACATCTTTAATAACTTTCCAATAGCACAGGAATAGATGTTAAACGATTGAAGGAGCCATTGACCATTTTAGCTACATCAGTGTTTTGCTCTCTGGAGTGTGCAAGAATAAAAAAAAATCCCATCATTTTTTCTTGTCTTTGATCTTTTAATCATTTTTAGAAAACGTATTAATGATACATGAATATGCTGACATCATCTGAATATCTTGCAATAAGACCCTATCCAAAATAATAATCTAGTTACTAAGAGAAGTCATTTTCCCCCTGTTCAGTGTAGTTTTATTCACTAGGCCTAGGAAAATTTCTCCCTTTCTTCCTTCCTTTTTGAATAAACACAATGGTAGATAGTGATATGATCCCAAATTAAGGGTTATTCTATCCTGCCTATTTGAAAAACTCCATCAAACATTTTCTATACATTACAATAAATAAATGAATGTCAGTATGGTCAGGTCCCAAACATAACTATGACAATCTTCAAATTTATACATTTATATATAAAGTCCCCTAGATTATAATGAAGAGTACTTAGGTACACATCAAGAGGACTGCACTAATAAAAATTCCTCCAATAAAAATATCCTCTGAATTGGAAATTCTGAAGTTTAGGTTCTTTCCTAGGTATACCACTGTGTTAGTTCAGATTTCCTATTTGTCAAGTTAATTAAATGTACACAAATATTTGCTTTCTGTTGAAGAAAAGATCTACTCTATTTTCCCCCCAAAAGCTCCAGTATTTGAATCTAAACTAGTATATTGCTTTGCTTTTCAGTTATTTAACACCTGTTTTAACTTTCAAAAGTGGAACACAAACAGAGTTGTTTATGTTAAAAATATGAACTCATTCATGGACAATTAAGTTACTATCCCCACCTCCCACTCCCCCTTTTTAAATCCATTTTCCTTTTTATCAATGGTTCTAAACAGGAAGTGCTTTTGTCCCACAGGCACCATCTGGCACTGCCTGGAGACAGTTTTTGACTTCTCACTTCTGATACTTAACGGTGAGGGGCTGCTAACACCAGAGCCATCATTAATACTCTACCATGCCCCCCACAACTCTGGAGTATGTCAGTCCAAAGGCCAAGAGTGCCAAAGCCGAGGCCTCAATTTACACGATCATAAATTTAGGAGAAAAAAGTACATTAAAAATAAGTTTTTGAGGCACATGAGAAAATGCTCTACATCATTAATCATCAGGGAGATGCAGATCAAAACCACAATGAGATACCATCTCATACCACGGAGACTGGACCACATCCAAAAGAACAAAAGCAACAGGTGCTGGTATGGATGTGGCGAGAAAGAAACCCTCCTTCACTGCTGGTGGGAATGCCGACTGGTTCAGCCCTTTTGGAAAAAAGTATGGACGATTCTCAAAAAATTAGAAATTGAGCTTCCATTTGACCCAGCAATACCACTTCTGGGAATATATCCCAGAGAGGCAAAAATGTATAGTCGAAGTGACATCTGCACTTGTTTGTTCATTGCAGCACTCTTTACAATAGCTAGAATCTGGAAAAAACCTGAATGCCCAAAAACAGATGACTGGTTAAAGAAACTTTGGTACATCTACACAATGGAGTACTATGTAGCTATTAGAAAAGATGAAGTTATGAAATTTACATACAAGTGGTACTACATGGAAAGTATCATGCTAAGCGAAATGAGTCAGAAAGAGAAGGATAGACATGAAAAGATTGCATTCATCTGGGGGACATAAAGTAACAAAATAGGAGATTAATATCCAAGAAAAGCGAGAACAGTACCAGGAGAATTACTCCATGGCTTAGAGGCCAGCCGGGCATTCTAGGGGAAAGGGCAGCTCAAATAGAGAAGGGAGCACCAAATAAAGGATGTTTGGAGGATCCTCCCAGGATGGGAGATGCATGTTGAAAGTAGACTATGGACCAAACATGATTGCCACTCAATGCCTCTTTTGCAGACCACAACACCCAAAAGGAGAAAGAGAACAAAAGGGAATGCCCTGCCACAGAGGCAGGATGTGATGAGGGGGATGGGGATGGGAGGGATACTGGGATCCATGGTGCTGAAAAATGGGCACTGGTGGAGGGATGGGTATTTGATCATTGTATAATTGAAACCCAAGCACAAAAATTTGTAAGTCTACAACTGTACCTCATGGTGTTTCACTAATCTGTCACTGTCCTCCTGTTGTTCATCGATTTGCTCGAGCAGACCCAGTAACGTCTCCATTGGAGACTTTGTTGTTACTGTATTTGGCATTATCAAATACATCACGGGTAGCTTGCCAGGCTCTGCCGTGCGGGTGAGATACTCTCGGTAGCTTGCCGGGCTCTCCGAGAGGGGCGGAGGAATCTAACTCGGGTCGGTCATGTTGGCTGCGTGCAAGGCAAACGCCCTACCGCTGTGCTATCGCAAAAATTAAAAAAAAAAAAAAGTTTTCGATAAACCATTATATTTCAAGAATTCCTCTTCTGAATAGGCTTGAGTTCCTGCCAGAAAGTCTAACAATGTTTATTAAAGCTGAGTAACAAATTGTACCCAGATGCTGAGATTCAGAAGCTGGATACTTCTCAGACCCACACTCTGCATTACTTCACCCTTTTCCAGTCACAGCCTCTACGAACTCTTCCAGAAACACTAGTGATGGCTGCTGGTACTTTCCAGAAGGCACCACTGAGGCCAGATTCAGCACGTTCTTGCCTTGGTTCCAGTAGCACCTAGAGTGCACCAAGGTTTCTTCCACAAGGGTTCCTTTTAGTACAGCATTCATGATCATACATCTTGTCATGTCATAAGCATAAGAAATCTCTTATTTAGTCTGGATGCCCATCAGAAAACATTCTGTTTTTTTGTCT